AAACTGGTTCTTGCTATAGTTTTGGGAGGTTTTTTTTGGTTTTTGTTTTTTGTTTTTTGAGATGGGGTCTCACTCTGTCACCCAGGCTGGAGTGCACTGACGCAGTCTCGGCTCACTGCAACCTCTACCTTCTGGGTTCAAGCGATTCTCCTGCCTCAGCCTCCTGAGTAGCTGGAACCACACGCATGCACCACCATGCCCAGCTAATTTTTTGTATTTTTTTTAAAGATGGGATTTTACCATGTTTCCCAGGATGGTTTTGAACTCCTGAGCTCAAGCAATCCACTTGTCTCGGCCTTCCAGAGTGCTGGGGTTACAGATATGAGCCACTGCGCCCGTCCTGGTTTTTTCTTTTTCTTTCTTTCTTTCTTTCTTTCTTTTTTCTTTTTTCTTTTTTGGAGATGGAGTTAACTCTGTTGCCCAGGCTGGAGTCCAATGGCATGATCTCAGCTCACTGCAACCTCCGCCTCCCAGGTTCAAGTGATTCTCCTGCCTCAGCCTCCTGAGTTGCTGGGATTACAGGTGCCCACCATCACACCTGGCTAATTTTTTGTATTTTTAATAGAGACGGGGTTTTGCCATGTTGGTCAGGCCGGTCTCAAACTCCCGACCTCAGGTGATCTGCCTGCCTCGGCCTCCCAAAGTGCTGGGATTACAGGTGTGAGCCCCAGAACCCAGCTCGGCCTGGTTTTGAAAATGAGATTTGCCAGTATACTTAATGATGCCTGTGTCTCCCTGATCGGGTGTGTCACTCTTCCCTGCCCCTCAGTGATCTCGTTTAGGATGTAGCGGCTGTTTTCATCTACTTCAGCCAGCTTGTTAAGTGTGTTCCTGCTGGCCTGCTGCACCTCACTGCTCTCACGGAAGACTGGTCTATACTGAGATTTCCTCCCTGGAAATCTCCCTGGTCTGAGCCTCAGTTTAGCGTATTGATTAATTAAGTGCTTCAGACTGTGAGTTCCTCATCTTAACTGTTAGGGTGATTTGACGAAGTGCTCCAGGGAAGGGTCCGTTAGAAGCTGCTGTGTAGTTCCTGCTCTGTGACTGCAGGGACAGTCATGAGCTTTGAGGACCAGGTGCGGCTGTCTCCTCAGGAGCCCATCAGGGTGAGCTCACCGAGAGGAGAGGGCCCTATTGTGCCGGAGAAGTCCCCCTGCTCAATCCTCTCGTGCCCCATCTCTCCATAGAGCAGCTTCCTCATTGCAGGTGGGCTGCAGGGTCCTGCTCCCTACCCCTGGGCAGGGCACCCTGGAATGTGGGAGAAAGCCCCAGGAATCCCTTTCCACTGTGTTCTTCTCTGCTGTGTCCGAGGGAGGGGCAGCAGGGAGGCTGGGGGTGCACCCCACATCTCCCCAGCAGAGGCCTCGAGCCTGAAACTCGTCAGGTGCACTGTAATTGGACTTTATTCAGTTTTAACGTTGAATATTAGAGCAAATGAATGAGTAAGAGCAAAGAGAAAGTTGGAAAGGGCATCTGAGGATTGTACTAGAAGAACAGGAGCAGCCTTTTGGATGCCCGCTCTGCTCCAGAGGCAGGGCATGTGCACTGCTGTGGCTGCACCCACCTGGGACAAGCCTGGAACTCCCGTCTCTGGGTGGACGAATGGATTTGCCCAGGCCACATGGCAGAAGGCCATCTGTCCCAGCGGCATTGGGCTGTGACTGCAGAACTGCTGCCTTGAGTTAGTCTAGAACTGGCGGTTGGGATGATTTCACTCCTAGTTCATGTTTGCTCTAATTTGTCATCTGACCCGGTTTTTAACATTGTGTTTTAAGGAGAGAGTTGGGAATTAGATCCCCACTGGAGGGTGCTCCCTGATCCTGCCTCTCTCTTGCCATCTCCTCTGTCCTCCACCGCAGAGTTCAGCCATAGTCGTGTGCACTTGGCGTTTTGTGTGTAGGTTTGTGGGGTTTAGGTGTGATTTTGTGACACAGATCGCGTGGTGTTGGAGCCAGGGCTTTCAGTGCCTCAGTCACCCAAATAACGCACTGTGTCCCCATGTGTTTGGCTTTTTAACAAAGGAAAGGGAGCGGGAGCGAGAGAGAGAGAACAGACAGCGCGAGCGCGAGCGGGAGCGGGAGCGGGACCGAGAGCGGGAGCGCCGGCAGAGGGAGCGTGAGCGAGAGCGGGAGCGTGAGCGCGACAAGGAGCGGCAGCGGAGGAAGGAGGAGTGGGAGCGTGAGCGAGCCAAGCGGGACGAGAAGGACCGGCAGCACCGTGACCGCGACCGGGAGAAGGAGCGGGAGAAGGAGAAGGGGAAACCCAAGCCCCGCTCCCCGCAGCCACCAAGGTAGACCGTGGTTCCCGAAGCCCAGGGGTGTGGGGGGTCCGGCACGCAGTCTGTACCTAGCCCCCCGACCTGCAGGTCCGGCAGGCAGTCTGTACCTAGCCCCCCGACCTGCGCTTCCACTCTGCTACCCACAGCTCTGGAGCCCAGGGGAGGAGTGCAGGCCCACGGCCCGAACCTGTGGTTCCAAACCCAAAGCTCTCCGACGCAGGGCCTTTCTGTAAAACTCCCAAGGTGGTGACATCTGCCCTGAGCTCCTGGGAGGCTGTTCTTGTTCTAGGGGATCTCACTGATGTGAAAGTGCTTACAGTCCACATGCAAACATCAGTGTGCTTTAACAGACACTGCCCTTGTATACCACGCATGGTGTGTAACTCACACCCTGGGCGCCATGTTACTGTTCTCAGCAGAGTTCTGAATTCCAAAGCACGCCTGGCCCCCGGAGCTTGGGATTGGGCTCAGGTGCTGTGGGGTGTCCGTGTTGCTGGCCAGGGGGAGGCGCTCCAGCAGCCGGCATGCAGGGGAGAGCTGGGGTCCTGCCGTTTCCTTTGTGCGGTGGATGCCTTGGGTGCAGAATGATCCTTGCTGCCAGCTGCTGGGGGAACAGCGAAGACCCATGAGACAGGCAGGCGCTGGGGCTCGGGACAGCCGTTTTTTCCCTTCAAATATACTTGACTATTAGAGCAGAATGGATGGGCCTCTGGACATTAGAGTACTGGATGATGTTTTTTGTGGGTGTTTCTTACAACTTTATTGAAATATAATTCATGTACCATGCAACATACCCATTTAAAGTGTACAATTCAGTGGTTTCTAGAATATTCAGAGTTGTGCAGCCATCATCACAATCAATATGGGAACACTTTTGTCTCCCAGAGTGAAACCTTGCGGTGGCTTACACTTGTATCCCTGCACTTTAGGAGGTTGAGGCAAGTGGATTGCTTGAAGCCGGGAGTTTGAGATCAGCCTGGGTAGCAAAGCAAGACCCCATCTCTATTAAAAAAAAAAAAAAAGAAAATTAAAAATTAGCCTGGCGAGTTGGCATGAGCCTGTGGTCCCAGCTACTCAGGAGGCCAAGGCAGGAAGATTATGGGATCGCCTAGGTGTTGGAGGCTGCCATGAGCTACCCTCGCACAGCTGCACTCCAGCCTGGGTGACAGAGCGAGACCCTGTATCTTAAAAAAAAAAAAAAAAATTGTTTTAAAAAAATCTAGGCTGGGCACGGTGGCTTACGCTTGTAATCCCAACACTTTGGGCGGCCAAGGTGGACAGATTGCTTGAGCTCAGGAGTTGGAGATCAGCCTGGGCAACATGGCAAAATCCCGTCTCTACAAAAAAATACAAAAAGTTAGGGCGTGGTAGTGTGCCACTGTGGTCCCAGCTACTCAGGAGACTAATGCAGGAGGATTGCTTAAGCCCAGAAGGTTGAGTTGAGGTTGTAGTGAGCCAGGATTGTGCCATGGCACTCTAGCCTGGGTAACAGAGTAAGACTCTGTCAAAAAAAAAAAAGAAGAAGAAACCTTGTACCCATCAGCAGTCACTCTCCACTTTGCCCACACTTCCCAGTCTCTTAGCAGCTTTGTGTCTCTAGGGATCTGCCCGTTCAGAACATTTTGTAGGAACAAGTGTGCGATATACATGGCCTTTTGTAACCGGCCTCTTTCACTTCGAGCGTTTTTAACATTTGTCTACGCTGTGGCGTGGGTCAGTGCTTTACTCCTCCGTGGACACACCGCATCGCGTTTCTCCCTTCGTCTGTTGATGGACATTGATGTTGTTTCCACCTCTTGGCTGTTGTGAATGTGAATTTGTGTGCAGGTTTTTGTGTGGACGTAGGTTTTCATTTTTCTTGGGCGTGTACCTCAGTGTGGAATTGCTAGATCATGTGGTCACTCTATGTTTAGCGATTTGAGAAACCCCCAGACTGTTGTGCACAGCAGCTGCACCTTTTACATTCCCGCTGGCCGCGTAGGAGGGCGCCATCTCTCCACATCCTTGTCTACACTTGCTGTTGTCCGTCTTGTTGATGACAGCTGTCTTGGTGGGTGTGATGTCTCCCTGCTGTTGAGATTTGTATTTCTCTGATGGCAGATGATAACGAGAGCATTTTTTCTGTGCTTATCGACCATTTGTATATCTTCTTTGGAGAAATGCTTATTCAGATCCTTTGCTCGTTTTTTAATTTGTTTTTATTGTTGAGTGGTAACAGTCCTTTATGTATTCCAGATACAAGTCCCTTATCAGGTATATGATGTGCAATTCCAATTAATGTTTTCTTTTTGTTGCTTATGGTTTTGGTGTCATGTAGGATACTGTTGCCTAATACAGGGTCATAAAGATTTACTGCCGTGTTCTAAGAGTTTCATGGTTTTAGCTCTTACACATAGGTCTTTTTGATCCAGCCTGGGTGACCCTGTCTCAAAAAGGAGGGGTTCGATGAGATCATGAACATTGCTCCGTCTCAGGGTTGGTTTGTGTCAGCGTCCCCGTGGCAGTGAAATGCAAGGAGGGATCAAGGCATTTCCTTATTGGGAAACAGCCCAAGACTCTTCCAGGGTCATGGCCTGCAGGACTTCCCAGTCAGGAGTCTGTACTTGCAACGCAGGGATGTTGTTTGACTTGGCTCTCATCAAAATCCACATTTGGACCTACACCTTCCAATAACGCTGGACTCTGCTAGACCTGCAGGCGTGGGCAGCTTCATGGCTGGAGCCACACAGTGGCCACACTTGGAGGGGCCACAGTTCTCACGCTCCCCTCAGAGACCTGGCAGCCATCAGGACCTGCGACTGTGGCTCTGGAAGCATTTGCATTCACCCACGGGACAGAAACAAGCCCGTCGTCCACATCATCTTGTCCGTGTGGCTGGACGACACCCGCTCTTACGTACAGTGGAACACAAGTCGCCTTACTCTTTTCTGAAAGTCAGCTTTCAGGCAGGACTTCGCAGGCCTTTGTTTCAGGGTCACTCATGGCTGTAGCTGCTGCTTAGGTGGCGGCCCAGTTTTGACTGTTTTCATTCTCCAACTCACAATGAATGGACTTCCCTAAATGTGCTGTATTTTATCATACTCTCCTAACATTAGGCAAAGTAATCTTTTCAAAGAACATTCAGGGCCGGGCGCGGTGGCTCACGCCTGTAATCCCAGCACTTTGAGAGGCCGAGGTGGGCAGATCACAAGGTCAGGAGATCGAGACCATCCTGGTTAACATGGTGAAACCCCGTCTCTTCTAAAAATACAAAAAATTAGCCAGGCGTGGTGGCGGGCACCTATAGTCCCAGCTACTCGGGAGCCTGAGGCAGGAGAATCACTTGAACCTGGGAGACGGAGCTTGCAGTGAGCTGAGAGCGCGCCACTGCACTCCAACCTGGGTGACAGAGCAAGACTCCGTCTCAAAAAAAAAAAAAGAACATTCAGAATAAGTGACATACTTCAGATGTTTTTAATCCTTTTATGTTACAGTTATTTTGAAGTTTATATGGTCATCCAAACGGGGAAACTGGCATTGACCTTGATACTGTGCTGTCTTCTTCAGCCTTTCAAGCCCTTTTTGGATAGAAGCCCTTTCCCCTACAGCACACAGCATTTGCAGTGTGGACTCAGCCTAAGGCTGCGTTTTCCACTGGAACCGCACTGCAAAGGTGAGATCCAGCACCCCATGCACCCACCCCCAGCCGCTCACTCTGCCTTTAACGGGCTGCCCCCACCTCCTCCGTTCCCTCTGCCTGGAGGGGCTGCCCCCACCTCCTCCGTTCCCTCTGCCTGGAGGGGCTGCCCCCACCTCCTCTGTTCCCTCTGCCTGGATGGACGGGCTGCCTCCACCTTCTCCAGGGTTTTGCTCAGATTCCTCTGCACAGGGAGGTCTCCCCATCCCCTCCTGCTTGCCAGCCTACTTTCTTGTTCCTCATGGCCCTCGGTGCCCACCTATCTGGAGCACTCGCAGCAGGTGGTCCTGGGGCATCACAATCTGCCCTGCTCCCCGCTGCAGCCTCCATGCCTCTCCCAGAGTCCCGCACAGGTTGGTGCTCATCCACATTTGGGGGTGCTCACTCATATTTGGGGGTGCTGTCAGTGAGTTTTGGATTTGGTAGCAGCCTGCATTTTTACCTGCATGTCATAATTGATTGTTACAAGTTGATAAAATTGCAGATTGATTTCTACAAACAACCAGCTCAGTCTGCTTTCCAGATTCATAAAATGACGGTTTTGACGCAGCCCAGATCCTTGGTTTTAGAAGCAGAGACATAGAAAGGCAGTGATATCCACGTGGAAGGTCACTGTGCTGTGTGGTTCTGGGTTTGTGAGTCCGTCAGCATGTCCACTTCGGTGGCTTATGGGCACACGTTCCTGGCCACAGACCCCCTTCCCCAGCCCCTAGTCATGTATTCTGCCTGTTTCCAAGAAGTCGGGGGCTCTTCCCACTCAGGAGTCTGTACTTCCAACTCAGGGATGTTTCTGTGTACGAGAGTGTACTTTTGGGGTACGTATGAGAGGGCGGTTGTGCCTAAGGTCTCTGTGTTCCTCTGCTGTGGCCCTCGCAAGTTAGTGACTCGTGGGATGGGAGGATAGATTCCCAACTGCCGAGCCCCTCTATCCAGTGTGCTCAGCCTCCCCAGAGGAAAGCGGGTGACGGATCCCAGGAGGCTTGGAGAGGGTAACTCTGCCAGCATGGCCACCAGGCAGCAGGTTGCCGTCGCCAGCCCCCGAGCCCTCAGCTTCACAGAGTCTCACATTCAAGAAGGAACTGGGAGGTGCTCAGACGTTCTCTAGCCTGATCTGAGCTCACAGCTAGGGTTCAGGAAATTCTGTACTAAATGAGTTTTTCTTAAAATCAGACACAGCTTCTGTCACCAAACTGGGCCGAGCCGCTCTTCCCACTTATTTCTGAGCTGGTTTATTTCCCTTCTGTGAGGCTCACGTCCGTTTCTGTCCTTCCTGAAGCACTTGCTTGTGCTCCTGGGGCTGCCCTCAGCCCCTTCTCCAAGCTGCCAGCAGCAGGGC